CGTGCACAAAGTCCAAAAACTCTGACGCACCAAACGCCTCAAATTAGACAAGATTTGCACAAAAGGAGACTACGATCAATATCAGAGTTTTATCTTTTATTTGATCCCTAAATTCCTGCATCATCTATTAGTCATGTCAGGCTTTAATTAATTTAATCAATTTTTATTCATAATTCTATAACGCACCAATGTTTTATACTGTGTATTTTATTAAGCACTTTTAATGTATGTTTTATTTTGTTTGATTGTATTTGCATTCTGTAAAGCACTTTGTAACCTTGTTTAGATAAGTGCTATATAAATAAAGTTATTATTATTATTAATAATAAGAGCCACTCTGTCGGACACATCACTAGTAACAGGAGTGTAAATATCCCACCTTGAACTGGCTCTGTACAAGGGACTAGAAAGACTTAGGCCAAGAGGTGGATTTTAAATTGGGTCTTTAAAATGCTAATACTGGAAATTCAAGGAGGTGAACAAGTGTGAGTGCATTTCAACAGATTTCCATGCAGCATTTTGTTACATTTCTGTCGCTGTAGAAATAAAAGACAAAAATCAGTTTCTGTCCTTGGCATACCGCCATTGCTCCAAAGATGTGACACTGTGATCGATGACTAAAGAGCAGATAGAACAGAGAACAAAGTGATTAGACTCAAATTAATCACATCACCTGCATAAAAAATGAGGCCGACTGTCCATCCATCCACCCATCATCCAGGCCTATACCGCTTTTTCCAGTTTGGGGTAGGAGCTGCCTGGAGCTGATCCCAGATGTCATTGGGCGAGAGGCGGGGTTCACCAGCCAATCACAGCGCTGACATGTGGAGACAAACAACCAGCCACACTCACAATTTAGAGTCAGCAGTTAACCTAACGAGCATGTCTTTGGACTGTGGGAGAAAGTCAGAGAACATGCAGACTCCATACAGAGAGGCTCCTGTCAGACGGGGATTCAAACCAGGATCACTGCAGCACTCAGAGGCCCCTGACTGAATTCATCTTCAGTAAAACTTTTGCAGCTCCACTCAGGCTCTGCTTCCCTCTAGTGTCCAAAGTTTGTATTACAATGTGACAAAATAAAAAAAAAAAATGTTCATGTCCCTCTAGGAGTTGAAGCAGTCAGTGTGTATGAGGGAATGAAACACTGCGTTTACTGCATGTTTTTATTTTTATTTTATTGAAGACAGTCGCTACAAAACCGAGTTTGTCGTGATTTATTTTCTTTCTTTACTTTTCTTTTTCTTGTTTTGTACAAAATAAAACAATAACAGTATTACAAATAATTAAAATTGATACATCATTCACAAGTTTACCATCAAATATACATTTATACAGAAAAACAAAAAAACATTGGATTTAAAAAGAATTTTAAAAAAATCTGAGTGAGATCACAGTGGTAGGGCTGAAAGAGAGGCGTGTTTGGCTGTGAGGAGGTTACCCCCTGAAGACTCCAACATCCACCCCTGTGTCCCGTGTGCTTTGGACCAGAAAGGGTTCAGGAAATATCTTATTGAAAATATAACCCGGGCTGTAAAGAGTTAAGATGTGTTCAGGGCCACCCGCGTCCGGTAAAGAGGAAGGCTGTGCGGTAAAGGGAACAGGAGCTGCAGAGAGCTGAAATATTCAAAATGTTCACTTTAATATTTTACAGAGAATTTAAAGGAAGTGAGTTTAATGAAGAAGAAGAAACACTGTGACATGACTGACCCCAGAGTGTGGAAGTCGTCTATTTTATAACATCCTCAAAATTAAGTTTGTAATTTAAACATATAACCGCTGGGACTGTCATGGCAGAAAATGTTTAAATCCTCCGTTCCTAATTTAACTTTTTGTCACCATGCTTAATCACATTGAGGGGGAAATAAAAAGATGAATCAATAAAAACAAACTCCCCAAAACAAAAATCAATCAGTTACGTGTTGCAGTCCGTGTAAGTAAACTATGGAAGCCCAGAGGGGCAAAATTCTGGTGATGCACTTTTCTTTAAAAGCGATCCAAAGTCGTTTTTAGAAGAGGTGTTTTGTTGAAGTTTTGCAAGGTGACAACTATGGTGGCCAGGAGATGCAAAACAAAATAAACAAAGTGAGAAACATTTTCACAAAGCTTGAGACAAATTTACATTTTGGAAAACCTTTTTTTTTTTTTTTTTGAAGAAACCATTTAAAAAAGCAAAACACTTTTAGAAAGGACAAAACAAAAAATACATTTACAAGATGAGAAACATTTCTAAGAGCGCTGAGACAAATGTACAAACGACAGAATCGTCCTGGAAAGGGAATGTGCCAGAACCAGGAAGTGACCTGGAGGTCAGTGAGTGAGCGGTTAGTTATTTTGTTTTGGCAGAAAGACTCGTTTTGTTGAATCCACCTGAGACAGTCAACGAGATTTTGCTTTTTCATTCTCTGCAGGACACAAACAGTAGTGGAGGAAATAAAGAACCTTCTAGACCTTCTGTCTCGTCTGTGTCCTACAAACATGTATATAAGAAATATATTAAATATATACCGTCTCATAATTTGGTGTTCTGCCATTTGTGAATTTGTGTCAGAGCTCGTAAAAATGTTCTGCTTTGTATATGTTAAAAGTGTTTTTTTTAAACGTAAGATAGTTTCATAAAAACTAAAAATGTTTCTCAAACTATACATTTATCTCATCTTTGTGTTTCACACTTTGTCATTTTGGTTTTTGCACTTCCCAGCCACCATAGACAACACATTAGATCAACATGATTGATTGCATGCAAGGAACAAAAAATAAACATTTGTTGTTGTTGTAATTCCCATTCTGTCCACAAAAGGGGGCTGATGTGCTGCTGTCCTTCATCATCATCTGAACAGGACTGAAAGCGTTCATGTTTTTCTCCATGCATGAAATTAAATTCAAAGCTTTAATAAATAAATCTCAAACATGAGGTCATCTCTAACACACATGATAAAGTATGAAGCTAACCTCCAGCAGGAAGGATTTCATTCTCACTTTAAAGGTTACAGCACGCTTTACGTCCTGTTTGGAACATGAGAAAGTGGCACCCTGCAGCCTGTTGTGGCCAAAACTAGTATTACAACCACGTGTGGAAGATAGGAAGCATATTTTCAATGAGAATGCATTGAAAGTAAAAAAAAAAACACAGGTTAGTCTTCAAATTATTTTTTTTGTTTTGCTCTCAAACAGCGGTTCTCAACTGGTGGGTCGGGACCCAGAAGGTGGGTTGCGAGGCCGCTTTCAGTTCCTCTGGGGTAAAAAAATGGTTCAAAAAGTCTACAAAGAACTTTTTTAAACTTGTTTTTGTTTTGTTCAGTTTTTTGCCTCCATCACTTCTTGTAACATCTACTGCACAGTTTTCAATTAAATCAATCCGATTGGTCAGGAAATATCAGAAATGTGGGTTGAGATTTTCTCATGGAGGAGGAGTCGGTGGGAGGGGGTCCAGAGACAAGATCCACTGCGCTAAAAAGTCAAATTTGCTGTTTTAGTCTCAGCTGATGTTTAGGGAGAGAGGCGTGGCCTATACTAGTATCCAGTCCTGGGCTTTCTGATTGGGTGACAAATCAGTGCCAGCGGGGGAGGAGTCTGGATGAAGGCAGTTATAAGCTACACGTGTCTTCTCTCCACTAGATCAAACAGTTATTAGTTCATCTTGTCTGGGCAACCACAGCGAGGAACTGGTCCAGGACCTCCTGTACAGGGGTCACTCGGGATCTAACATCATAATACTTTTGACTTTAATTCCTTTTTAAAGAAATTTAAAAAAGACGAGATGAACAAACAAACACAAACGTTTGAAGAGTTTTCAAAAGGAGCAGCAGTAACAGTGAAGGTGCTGCCCGGGCCCGCTGTGTCCAAACACTGTGATGTGCACACCATGCATATGTACAGTACCGTACCGTGTCTTTGTGCATCTGGTGAAACATGGAGGAAACGTCACACACAGTATCACATCATACAAGTGCAGACCGAACAACATTTATCAAACACAGCAGGAGAAACAGGGCGACGCCCAAATCAACAGGCTGGAAGAGTTTTGAAATGAGAAGATGTGGAAGCACCACCTGTGGTCATTAAAAAGACACAAAGAGGGGTGTGACAGCAGAAAGAATGGCGGCGAGCAAAGTGCAGAACGTGTAGCGAAAGTGTCTGTCCCAACATAAACATGCACCAGTAAGTGTTGAACTGGGAGTTCAGCAGCTCAAATCATTTCTTAAAAAATAAAAAATAAAAATAAAAAGAAGTTTGAGCTCATTGTGCAGCTGCCATGTGACCCTTGAACTCTCAGCCTCTGTCCAGTTCTTAATCAGCGAGTAAATACAAAAACATGTGAGAAAGCGGCATCACATTTCAAGTGAGGATTTTGTTGTTGTTAAGGTTTCATAACAAGTACAAAACACAAGAGAACAGAAGAAGAGACGTTCCTCCTCCTCATTAAATGGTTGCACCTCCAGTGAATCGAGGAGAATTTACAAAATCCGACGCAGCTCAATAGTTTTGGAATCTGCGTTTCTGTGTCGGAAAAGGAAGAAGTTCAATGTGTCATGAATGAATGTCCCCAAACAAACAAACAAACAAACAAACCAACAAAAGATACAGACACCACGTCATCATTGTGACGTATAAATTATTATCAGATCTGCATAAACTTTACAAAAACTTTATCAAAATTCACAATAAAAAACCAAAAAACCAAATAAAGTTCTGAGAGTATCTCTGAGACGTCCCTTCATAATCCAAACTGGAGCAGTTTTTGACTTAAAAAGCATTAAGTGAAGTGTTAATGCACATGACGAGATGAGTAGAACGGTTACAGGGGGAAAGTATTTCACACGAGCTGCAGCAGACGTCTCAAACGAAGGATATTCACATGACACCACATCAAGAGTGCAATGCTGCAGCAGCAGAACACCTCACCTGCAAAACATTTGTGCAGGTCCGCCATTTTTATTCTCGTTGAGTGATGTCTACCGGGGAAAACTCGGGGGGGGGGGGGGGGGTTGACCAACAGATGTTTCATTTAGACCACAGAGGACTGTTTGAAAAAGGTGGAGAAGGGGGATAATATGTCCTCTTTAAAGCTGCTGACACTAAGTGGTATTTAAAACACTGGTAAGAGAATGAATAAAATGGATTGGAAAAACTTCAACCACCATTTCTTCAAATCTAGATTGTGAATCTGTCATAACTGTGCAAAGACAGACTGTTGAATGTACACGTTTGCAACATCACAGACAGAAGTGGTCTCATGCACAACACACTGCGTTCCCAAGTCCAACTTTCTGAATTTACAGCTTTAAGGTAATTATTCTGCTTATTTCTCTTTCCATTGGTGTCTATATCTCAAAGTGACTCTCTGCTTCCTGCTGATGCTCTTACTTTATTTCTTTATGGACGTGTTTACGTTTCAACATAGGAAAGAAAAATGGAGGCTGCACCATCTTGTATTTAAACTGCTTCTTTTGTGACAGAGTGTCTCTCAGTGAAATATGATCTGTGGGTCACAATGATGAGATTTACAAAAAAAACAAGAGTACAGATGTTGAGGGTTGGTGAGGTGGTCCCAGTAAAGAAAAGGTTTGCAGAGAGTTTCCTTAAAGTGTTGTTGCTGAGGGTTTTAAATGCAGTGAGTGAGTTTGTCTATAGTCATCACACTGACTCTTTACAAACACAAAGAATCAGTTAGGTGAGCTGCAGATCCCGTTGCTTCCAGATATTTTATGTGAGTGGAAAACACTTCCGTACAACGTTTGTGTAGTGTCTATAAAACGATCGGGCATTGAGGGAACTCGGACAATCAGGGCAGTAGTGGATGTTTTCTTAAAAAAAAAAACCAAACACACATTAAATAAAGCATCACAGATATTCAGAGACTAGAACAAAGATTGCACGTTATGTGGACGAGTGGTGAAAAAAAAGGTTCTTCTTGGGTTGAATGCCAAAACTTAGCAGAGTATATTGATATGTACAATATGTGTGAGTGTGATTTATTTTAGTGTAGTAGCAGCACTGAGAACGCTTTGTATTGTAATGTTTCTTTAACCCAAAACCCATGGCCTAAACTTTGACAGTAACTCTACACAGCTTCACAGTAAAGAGGATGGTGAGATCACAGTGAGAGACAGACAGAATATGGTCCAATCGACATTTACATACGGCCCATATCTGGTGGCTGGAGTGTGTTTCAATGTTTGAAAATGTCACTTTGTTGGCAAGAAGACGTGTGTAAAAAATACCTTTCAGATGACCAGCTCACACAGGGTTCATTAAGGAGGCCATTTTTTAAAAGTCTGTGTGTGGACAGGAGCTTCGTGGTTCTTTTGATTCCTCTCAGACGTCCCTTTCGGCGGTCAAAACAGCGTCTGCAGCTCCTGACAGCACAGGCATTGAAGTATGTGGTAACCTTTTTAAAAGGGCCCTTCTAAAGGGCAAATCTCGACATGTTATTCCAGTCTGGTGCTCAATAATCACGGTGAGGGGAAAACCAACCAAACCAGCGTCCGAGGAACACTGATGAAATGTTAACCGGAGTCAAACAGAGCACAGGTAGGTGACCGATGTGCTGCAGCCTGACCAGCGCACACAACATGAGGTTGTTCTTTTATTAGAGTGCAAAGATTGAAGCCTCTAAAACCTAGAAAAACAAATCAGGTGTTTTCAACATGCAAGCTCTTACTGCTGCCTCCACCAGCAGCTCTGCATCACCTTTCTCAGGTAACCCAGGTTTGCATGCTGCTATTTCCTGACGGACACACTGTGCTTTTGTGGTGTCTGATGTTGTTTTTGCCACTGCTAAGGCTGGCTGCACACTTTACTATTATCAGCCCCATTAGCAGACCGGAAAGCGTCCAGCCAACTGGATGTTTACGTACTCAAACATGGGAGTGAACATAAACACAACTGAGCCCAGGGCCAAGTGGGATATGGAAGAAGAGCAGCTTGTGGAGTTATGGCAACAACATGAAGACAAACCACACAGCCAGCTGACGATGTTGACCGTCCTGAAGTCATGTTTGACCACACGAGTGGAATCACTACTGTGAAATCATTACTACAAACAGCAGGTTTTACTGTCTTGGTATTCATTTGGAAGCAGCTGAATGTGGCACGACTGCATGCGGACATTTTATCCTCACAGACGATAAAATACACGTTATCTTTTTTTTAATTAGTAAAAAAAACAGGTCTCCAGCACTGTGCCCTGTGGCCTCCCAACTGAAAAAAGTTCTAAAACCAACAGCATTGTGTTGTTCTGTCAGGAAGAGCATGACATCAAAAGCACCAAGAAGAAGAAATACTTAAAAACAGACTCCCTATGGAAGAGAAATGGGTGCTACCAAATATAATCTAACTCTGAAGTTTACATTTTGCAGTATCCGTTCGATTCTTTTCTACCTGACCTGATGTGAATTTTAATTTCAAGCAGTGTTCCTCGTGCAACTTTTTGTTCTTTCTTAGGTAAAATTTTGGCTTGGTGGTAGTGGAAATACCAGCTGTAAGAGATCGACCAAACACCTGTGCTGCGCTGCAGACTGGACAAACCTTCTCAAAGAGTTCTGAGGGAGGGATAGAGCGGGCTGAGGTCACGCTGAAGTCTCAGTCTGTGTGAAGGTCTTCAGCCCTCCTCCGAGGATCCAGGAGAGTGCAGGGATAATGGCTCCTTGTTTTCCCCCCACAGTAAACAGAGCGGGTGTCTGTCTGTCTGTGTGTGTGTGTGTGTTCCTTTTATCACACCTCCACTGAAGTGATCTGGTTCATCTGGGCCCTCATGGACTGAATGCTGTTGAGGATCTTCTTCTGGTGGCCGGCCAGTGTCACTCCCACTCTGAGGATGTCCCTGAGGAGAAAACCATCTGTCACTTTCAGCTCCATATGCAACAAGACCACAGTTTACATCTTGACTTTGATTGAATGCTTCAATCAAAGTCTAACCGACAATTTATGTGTGTTTTTTAAGCGACACAGCAGCAACAAGTTCCTCATGGAGCTTTGTGCCCAACTCTTTGCCTGTAAGGCTACCGAGAGGCTCCTCTGACTGTAGCCGTTTTAGCACATGTACTCCTGTAAATGAATCATATCTACGTCTTGTTTTGTGCAATCTGTCTCCTTAAGAGCTAAAGAAGTATCCAACATACTCCATGGTCATTTGAGACACCACATCGAAGCTGGTGAAGCCTTCGTTGGTGAAGTTCTCCTTGTACTGCCCCATCTTTATGGCGTCCAGCCACTCGTCCACCGTGCTGAACGAGGAGAAGTCTGGAGTGCTGCGGTCCAGCAGAGGTAAGTGGACGCTGGTGGACAGAAAGAAGAACACGTGAGAGAGAGAGATGATGATTTTTGTTTCACAGTGTTGACTTGTTGGAAGGTCCTTCTCTGCTGTACCTCGATGACAGCGGCGTCATGGCTTTGAGGGTGCTGGGGTTGCGGATCATCTTGTCCAGGGTGCCGACGATCTGGCTGAATTTGGGCCGGTTGTTGCGGTCTTTCTGCCAACAGTCCAACATCAGCTGATGGAGAGCACTGGGACAATCCATCGGGGGCGGCAACCTATAGTCCTGCTCTATGGCGTTTATGACCTACGAGAGTTCACATACAAACACAGGTTATGATCATGATTTCAATTCCAAAAACAGTCTTTTTATTGGTCCTCAGATAACATTTTCCAGTGTGTCGGTCCACTCTCCCAGTTTGTAAAATCTCTCAGGAAATCTGGTCATTTTTTTGACCTGCAGATCAAAATAAGATCATTACGCTAAAAAATATCACAGTCCTGTTTCTATGAATTGAATAACATTGTCAAAATAAGACCCGCCCCCTCCTCTCTAGAGTCGATGCTCATGCAGGTTGCCGTGTCATTTGATGAACTATACCCCGAGAGGAAATTCAAATATATGCATGCTCATAACCTCTAACTGTTCTTTTATATGAGCTGAGATACAAATCGAGCGTTTCACTCACGTCTTGGTTGCTCATGTCCCAGTATGGCCGCTCTCCGTACGACATCACCTCCCACATGACTATCCCGTAGCTCCAGCAGTCACTGGAGGAGGTGAACTTCCTGTACTGGATGGCCTCAGGAGCCGTCCATCGGATGGGAATCTTTCCTCCCTGGAAGAAAAACAAAATGGGCGAGAGATCATTAGCATCAACATCCTGAAAATGTAAGAAAATAATTGTCCCAACATAATTTTCTTTCAGCAGGGCTCTTAAAGGTCAGGTTGGATAGTTTTTTGAAAATGTAGTGTAAGACCAGGACTCACCAGAGCGCTGGTGTAGGTGGGGTCTGAAGTGTCCTCCTCGAGGAAGCGGGACAGTCCGAAGTCGGACACTTTGCACACCAGGTTGCTGTTGACCAGGATGTTTCTTGCTGCCAGGTCTCGATGGACGTAGTTCATGTCACACAGGTACTTTATTCCTGCTGCTATGCCGCGCAGCATCCCCACCAGCTGGATCACCGTGAACTGCCCGTCATTTTGCTTTGGGACAAATTTTTTTTTAAAGATACAACAAATAATTTAACATATATATATTTGATTGCACAGCCAAGAATTTGCACAGCTCTGGATAACCCCCTCTATTGTTATTGCACATTTACCACTGTCATCACTGTTTTTGCAAACTTACATCTCTTACCTCCAGCAAGTATTTTTACATTCAGTTGACAAGCCTGAATAAATGTTCATTTTTTTTAAAACAGTAAGAATGTTAATCTCTTCCTATTCTTTTTTTTTATATTTTTATATTTTAAGTGCTTATTTTTGTATCTATTCTTATATTGTTTTATTTGCTTTGATAACATTCTGCTGTAACACCATAATTTCCCAGTTTGGGATCAATAAAGTAATTCTATTCTAACTAAGGAATGAATCAGGACCTAACAGGACTTCTGCAGGACTTAAGAACTGGAAAAATCCACCACAGCCTTCAAGCTTTAACCGGCTTGAATCAGACGTCCTAAGTGATTTCTCTCCTTTAGTCAGAGTCACTGGTTGTTACTGTAACTGATAGTATTAAATGCTTCTCTGTGATGGATTATGGCATCTTATCTGTACATTCTAGTTTAATAATGACTGTTAATCAGTTTTTTTATTCCGGGAACTCTTCCTTCTCTAGAATAAGTTTAACTTTTTGTCATTATTTCTACATTTTGACTCTGAACGGTAGAATCAGGACAACTTTCTTAACGAAGATGAACACATTCAAGGTGTGCAATGTGTCTTATAGAGCAGGGGTTCTCAAACTTTTTTAGACCATGGACCCCTTTCAGATAAGATGTTTTTCCAAGGACAACCTCATTATCGTACTGTTGATAAACATATATGTATTAATGTACTATGTTGTACCGGTACTTTGCAACGATAGAATTAGGCTACATATATAGTTTCCAAGTAAATCATTTTATAAACTTTGAGAAAATGAACATCACAAGATTGACATAGTCTTGCGATGAAATTAGAAATATTGTCATGTATTCTAAAACTGACTTTCAATTGATTTAACTTTAAAGATGAATTATTTGCTCCTTATTCAAATCACTGGCAGGAAGCTCTGAGCAAACCACATAATGTATTTAACAATGATTCAAAATACACATTAAGCCTTATCAAAGAAGATTTAGATTTCAATATTTACATTACTCATATTCTTATGTCAAACAAATCACAAATATTCTGCGGACCCCCAAGCAATGGTTTGCGGACCCCACTTTGAGAATCACTGTTATAGAGACTGTCCTTACATGTGGCCACATTTGGTTTGTCTCACAATGTTCAGTAAAAACAGGAGGAGGAAAGCTGCAAGCAATGTGATCGCTGTGCAGCGAGCTCAGCTGCAGGACGTTTTATAGCATCAGTAAAACTCAACAGATCATGAACTGTCCTGACCTTTGACCTCTTTTTGTTGAGTTTGATCTCCCATTACTAGCATGTACAAGAATGTTGCTTCCTCTCACATACACAATGACTCATGTTTGCCTGTTATGTGACGCTAACAGAGGGCAGTGAAAACACCTTTTTATCGGATCTATTTTGTCCCCTTTTCAGCACCATGGACAGAGGCAAGAGCTCCGTTCAAAGCGGCTTTAAGAGGAATACATCACAATGAAACAAAAAGCAAATTATGCAGAAGGAGAGGCCATCTTTGTAGTTTCAAATCAGTTAGGCCTGAACCAATCAGCCTATAAAAAGCAGAAGATCATTCTCAATAAAACCTGACTTTCTGGTCTTAATAATGTGTCATTTCTCGAGACGCAGTCAGATCATGACGCTCCGTGTCTGGAGGGAAACAGTGTGAATCTTTAGTCTCTTTTACCCTGAGGAAGGAGTCCAGGGATCCGTTCTCCATGAACTCCGTGATGATCATCACAGGGCTGCTCTTTGTCACCACCCCCTCCAGGTGGATTATGTTGGGGTGGTCAAACTGACCCATGATGGAGGCCTCGCTCAGGAAGTCCCGCCTCTGGCGTTCAGTGTAGCCCGCCTTCAGAGTCTTAATAGCCACCAGGATCTCTCTCTTCCCGGGCTGCCGGAGATTTCCGCTGCACACCTCCCCAAACTCTCCTAAAGGGAAGACGGGAGCGGACAAAATCAGGTGAGTGACATTTTCAAAACATCAAGAAGTTCCTAGCAAGGCGGAAAATGTTTCATTATTATTTTAATTTTTACAGCGACAGATATTTACTACTATACTTTATCTAATTCTGTGATGTCTGGGTTCAGAACATCATTAGTAACTAAAGGTTTGGTTAATCAAACTGCCTTCTGTCTACATCATTGGTTGATACTTTATCCGGGTTCATTTGACTTCAAACCTCAAGCTAATTTTGTTGAAACGATTTCAGCCTGATGACATGTTGGCTAGGATTGCCAGAAAGATGTCCCCTCACACTCTGGACACACATTTTTCAAACTCCTCCCCTCCGGCAGGTGTTACAGATCACTGTACGCCAAAAACAACCCGTCATAAGAACAGATTCTTCCCCCAGCTAAACAGTCACAGAGTGTCAGACCTGTCACTGTGGAATAACCCTGGAACAAAACTGTCACTGTGAATGTTCATATACGTATATTATTTAATTTAAATTATCATATACGCACACTTTTTAATGTAAATACTTTTAAAAACTACCTCATGTTTACTTCTTTGCACTACTCACCACTGCACTATTATCTTATATTTTCCTATTTAGCCTTGTACATATTAGTCTTTGCTTATTTGTTTATTTTTGTGTTTATTGTTGATATTTAATATTATACCTTTGTACAAAGAGAGCACAGTTTGCCAAAGTTAAATTGTGTGTTGAAGCATACCTGGCCAACAAAGCTGATTCTGATTTTCTCAAAACTAGAAGTTTAGCCATGCTGTATCCAGCAAGTCACAAGTCAGATAAAAACCCGGCCTGCTGCAGCTGTTTTTTTTAAGGATGTATTTTGTGGAAAAGAGCCGCAGGTCGGATTTAAACCCAGGCCGCCGACCTGAAGGACTTCAGCCTCCAAACATGGGGCGAGCTCACCAACCACTGGGCTACCGGCGCATCCAACTGCAGCTGTTTTAATCATCGACAGATGATGTGGTGATTTCGGAACAATAAACCGGCCAAGGGAATTCAAAAACAACTGTTGCCCTGATGAAGATTCAGTGGAAACGTGCGGACACATCCCTGCTAAATAAAGGATTTTTAGACTGTATCAGAACTTTATATGAAAATAACCTTAACCTCATTTTTCTCTTTTGTTTATTTTTATGCCTTTATTTTGAAAGGACAGCGGATAGAAATCAGGGACAGAGAGGGAGCGGGGGAATGATAAGCGGGAAAGGAGCTACAGGTCTGCTTCGAGGACTACAGCATCCGTTCTTGGGGGGGGGACACACAAACTAACCACTAGGTCCCCATTTTTCTATCTTTTGACCCCGTGCAGCAACCGCCTCTCCTACGATTCTAAAATAAATGAATCATGTCCTTTTCTGAAATCTTGGTGCATTTAAAGTTTGCTTCAGGAGATATATGACGTTAACTGTTTTCTGTGACGTAATTGTGATGTGTTTATATCGTTAAAAAGACGGTAGCATGACGTGCTGCAAGGTTATAGTCAGTCCCCTCCCCCTCAGTCCTGATGAAGGCTAACAACAAGAATACGTTCTGTGACAGGTCGCCCTTCAAAACAGCTCAGACATTTGTTAGCATTCTCAGTTTGTATCTTAACCTGCACCAATAACTTGTTCGATCTTGACGCATGAAATGTCGATCTCCTTGGCGAACTCTCTGACGGCCTCATTGGGGTCTTCGTAGGTGAAGGGGTCGATGTAGATCTTCATCCCTGGTGACACTTCAACAGAGAGAAAAGAAGAGACAGCAAAAAGCTATACATACAAAGAAAATAAGGACATAAACAGATCCTCCACGACGAGAGAACACTGAGGAGTCAAACAATACTTACTGTGACCACTGGTGTAATGCTGCTGCAGTTTGTCTGTGTACTCGGACTCTGTTCTGTCCGAACTCCTCCTGCTGCTGAGAAACACAACCACAAACAACCAGCCACTCAGTGCACCGATTTAAAGAGACACAACGAGAAAACTTCTCCAAAAGATGATGACGGTGAGATGTTGATAAACTCTGAAAATCATCACAGATTCACAGTTCTCCTCCGTCTTTTCTCAGCGTTTTGGTTGTGAACTGTTTGGATTTTGAACTAGTGGAAAAAGCTGCGTAAAGAGGTTGTGTTTTCTCTTTTTGAACAAGCTGCAGCTGACTGAGAACCAGGGCTGCGGGGGTTTGTCAGGTAGACGTTTGCTGCAAAATCTCTGAAGTCAACTGACTCAGATGTTTCATGATATTCTGATTTGATGAGCTGTGTGTGAAGTGACGATCTGGGATTTCTCTGTAACTGCAGTTTAGCCATGCAGAGCTGGCTAAACACTGAAGCTTCAGGGTCCACCACATGGCAACCTGCGTGAGCATCGACTCTAGAGAGGAGGGGAGGGGAGAGAGACAGCTCTCTCCAATGTTTAGAATTTGGACTGCAGTACCCATTCTAAACACTAGGTGTCAGAGTTACATATTACTCCTTTAAGGTGGATTTCTTACATTTAGATTAAATCTGTGAGATTTGAAGCACATTCGACAGTTAATAGAACGAGTTTGGTGATGTTCTGTGGTCCAGTTCAGCATAGATGTTATATAAAGTGGTTAACGGGCCGTAGGGGATTCATAGTTAAAAAGAGTTCATCAAACCTCTGTGCCAGTTAAAACCGACTCGAAACTATTCCGGGTAAAATAATCAGGTACTGGTTTGGATGAATGTAGATGAATCTAACAGCTAACATTGGATAAAAGCCATCTTTAAGTGATGTCCCATAACATGTTAGATCGTTTATCGGCTCACCTGCGACAGACTATTATGAAGACAGTGATAGCGATGATGAAGACGACTCCTGCGGCCGCTGAGCCAATGATGAGAGGGAGCTTCTCCTGGATGCTGGAGTTATATTCCTCTGCAGGTTGAGGGGGCAGAAAACAAAGAAAGTTTTGTTCAAATACACACTGGATCTATGAAAACATTCCTGTTCACTAACTCTGAAACAGAAAGATCCTTTGACATCTGTTTCATAAGACGGGTGCGTAGGAGGGTAAACTCCTGCACACCGTCTAACTTACAAACAAATATTTATTGCCAACTCTTCAGTACTAGACCTTCATCAGGCAATCTGTTTTTAAATAGGAAGTGGCTACAAGCATGCAACCAATCATCATGAGATGAGATGAGATTCAACTTTATTGTCATTACACATATACAAGTATAGAGTAACGAAATGAGGTTTGGCATCTCACCAGAAGTGGATCATTATGACTGTGATAGAATTTCTGTATCTCTGAAGAGGAACAGACGTCTCACTGAGGATCTGATCACACTGTATTAATGTAATCTTAAAGTGGGTCAAGCTTAGGGTCACAGGCTCTCAAAGTTCGGAGTTACTTCATTTTGGGGCTTCTGTATTCCTTTATTTAGAGAAAGATCAGTGGACAGAGACAGAAATCGGGGAGAGAGAAAGCATGGAAAGGAGCCCCCAGGCTAGAATTGAACCCGGGCCGCCCACCTGGAGGACTACAGCCTCCACACACGGGCTGCACACCAACCATTAGGCCACCGGCGCCCCCCACCTGCTCTTACTTTGTGATGCTCACTCCTTGGACCTGACAGCAGTCACAGCTGCACTGATAGGGTTGGCTGTTACTACGACAACCAAGGCCCGTGCTCAGGGGACACTAAAGTTCCCTAAAGCTAAATTACAATCGAACAGACATTAAAATGCACAAAAGTTTTAAAAGGTCTAGTATCGAAAACGTTGCCAGTAAACGTTTGTTTTCAAGCTTCCTGTAACTATTAGCAAGCTCAGGCAGCGAATATGATCCCTACCTTCAGTCATGGTTTGGAAGTACATTTTGCCGCTGAAGCGTCCAAATCCAGCGACGGTCCGAGCCCGAACCTGGAAGACGTAGATAGTTCCAGGTTTCAGGCCTCGGATGACGGCGGTGTTGGTCTGACTCCTCGTGAGGGACGAATTCCACTCCGCTTGGTTCTGAAACAACGCGCAGACAAAATGTATATGACAAAATCGACGCGGTGTGACGTTACAAATCATAGCTAACCAAGTCTTTTTTTGATTTACGGGGCCTGTTCACAATCCGCCCTGACGGACCTTCTCGTAGTACTGCAGCTCGTAGTCCAGGATGACTCCGTTGGGCTGGTCAGGTTGGGACCAGGACAGAGTGATGCTGGTCGTGCTCCTGCTGACCTGGTGGATGATGGAAACTGATGATGGAGCTGAGAACAAAACAAGAGAGAAAGAGGCATGTTAGAGGCAGAAGAAACACTGACTGGAAGAACTGGAACTGAAACTATTAAACCTCCTTATGATCACTCTCTTTAAGGTCACATATTCTCTAAAATCCACTTCACCATATTCCTCTAACACTAATATGTCTCTAGTCTGTCTACAAAGCCCCAATGATGAGAAAAGTCCATCCTCTCCGTCTTTTGCCTGCTCCACTTTTCAGAAAATATGTGCTCAAACAGGCTGTTTGGAGATTTTCCCTTCATGACATCACAAAGGGCAGTAGCCCCTCCCCCAGGTGGGTGACACTCCCACAGCTAGTTGTTTGTTCTGCCCTCTGAGTCTACCTTCTCACCGTAAACAATAGGACATGGAGCGAGAAAGCACCGAGACACCCAAGCCCTTCCAGAGAGGGGGCGTGGTCAGACACAGCTCATTTACATATTTAAAGGTGCAGACACATAAACAGCCTGTTCTGAGCAGGGCTGAAATAGAGGGGTTTATAGGCATGATCAAATACAGGATCAGAGTGAATTTAGTTGGCCAATTCTTTTTGATAGAACGACTGATAGGTACAAAAACATTTTTTAATTTCTATAAATTTGGCAGAAATGGCACAACATTTTTTTTTGGGACTAATGCATCCAGTTAAAGATCGTCCAGTTATTTTCTCCTTTTCTCTCTGCAGAGAGCTTTTTATTTTTTTTTTAAATAAAACTGTTACAGCATTATTAAAGGGTCCCTACAAAGAGAAGAACTTGTAGTTAAGAAACAAAATGGTTGTTTTTTTACCCGAACCCCAAACAGCTGCTCTCTTCAAAGCCACCAGACTCCATGAACAAAAATCATTAATTTTACCTCCTAATAATTTATGTTTAGAAGTTTTCCTTGTATTTTTTTTCCCATTGCCTGTTTCTTTTTTAATAAAAAATAAATATATATATATATATATATATATATATTTACCTCCTGTAACACAGGAGATGCCAACCTTCTGCTGTCTTCATTTTCTGTCTTTGCAAAGTCGTGTAACTTCAGCATTGTCAATGGTGAGTTTTGGATTCAACAAAATACTTTTACAACACAAAAAACTGACTAATCAAGACAGGAAACTTGTATTCTTGGATGTAAAAATACTATTTTTCTTTAATGTAGTCTGGAGACTTTAAGGAGAATGGTGTTATTTCTGTTTGTTAATTGAAAAAAAAAGCTTCTTTTTCTTTAACAAAAAGGTCTATTCCTGTCGGAAGCCTTTCTGTGAGGTTGTCAGACATAATAATCTGAGTCTGGCAAAAATCCAAATTTTTTATCAGACTAGGTTTACTTGGGAACATTTGCCTGCAGGGACTTTTAAAGTGTTGAAGCAGGAACGCAGGGTTTAAGTTTATAGAAAGTGAGGCCAAGCCTTGTAAAACATTAATCTCGCCTCACCAGCTTGGTTTGTGGTGATGTTGACTGAGGTGTACTGCGGCGAGTAAGGACTCTGGTCAGACACTCCGTTCACAGCTTGTATTTCAAAGGTGTACTGGGTGTGAGCCAGGAGGTCGCTGATGTGGACGCGGTTTTCTGTCAGTCCCAGCTGCCGGGGAACAAACTGCACGTTGTCTCCACAGCGGGTGCATCCCCCTCGCCCGCTGCCGCAGCTCTTGCAGATGATGTTGTAGACGACGTCCTCCCTGCCGCCGCCCTCCTGCGGAGGAGTCCACTCCAGCCGCAGAGACGTCTCGTTCACGATGGAGATGACGTTTTGTGGAGCTGATGGAACGGCTGGAAAAGAAGAACACAGATCTTTTTCTAACTGGAGGTTGAAAGAGTGCAGCGGTTACAAAGATGCATAATGTACGCACAGATATAAGGTACTCTTTGAAAGCAAGCCAACACCTCTGGGTCAAAGGTTCTTACTGCCTCTTCTGTCGAGAGTGAGTCTCTCCCTCCATTATAAATCTAGGTCATCAAGAACATGCATGTGCAGCGTGATGTGAAACTGGAGAATGAAGGAAGCCGTGTAATCAAGTGTTGTGTGTGACTCTGGGCGGGCCTTTAATAAATAAGCAGACGCTTCAGCCAGTCACCTCGAGCTGAACGGACCGAGCTGACTGCCTGAATTAGCTCGCACTTGAAAACACCTCCTTACCAATTAGCGGTCTATTGAAGCTGCAAGATTTTCAGTCTCTCTCTCCCTCTGCCCTTATAATGTCAGCTCTGACCTGCAGCAGTACTGCGCTCACTCCACCACCTCAGCATCCACCTGTCGGCTCCGACTGAGGGGTTTAAGATCTCATCACATCACTCCTCAAATGTCTGCATGTAAATTAAAACTGAGGAGTGATGAGGTCGGAGCTTAGACGCTGAACACAATCTATGTCTACAATTCTACAATTCACTTAGCAGACGCTTTTATCCAAAGCGACGTACATCAGAGAGTAAGTACAACACAAGCAAGGATCTAGAAAAAAGGGAACAATGTCAGTAAGAGCAAACGATCAGCTTTGAGTCCGATTGGACACACAGGTGCTGACAGGAAGTGACCAGAGACAAAGCACAACATTGGCGGCATTCTTGAGAGCTTTTAAGGCATCGTTATCAAACAAAAACCATCGTCATTACCATCATCATCATCAATAATATGGAGACCATCATCATTAAGTTAGTAGGTATTCATGAAAGAGCTGGGTCTTTAGCTTTTTCTTAAAGGTGCAGAGGGACTCTGCAGATCCAATGGAGTTTGGAAGTTCATTCCACTACCTATGTTCTGCTGAAAAAATATTTTAAACGATACAAACATGAGTTGAGACTGAACTGACTTTGGTCTGTGTGTTGTTAAAGTTATTTGACAAACAGACAGAAACAGGACAGGACGAGCTGGAGGACATGACTACTGAGAAGGACGTTTGGTATATGTCTGTCAGCCTGCAGCGACACTGACCTGGATCTGGATAATTGACAGAAAATAGTTTGACGGACAGATTTTTACCCTGGTCCCGTCTGACTTTCCTTTAACAGTCGTTTTCAAAATAAAAACAAATAACCTCTCTATGCAGAATGATTTATTCAGGTATCAGAGTGTTTGTAGCGGAGGCTGATTTGCAACACTCGTCTCTAGATGGGCTTTTGTGTGAGTAAAGGATTAAAACAGTTCAAAAGGAAAAAGAAATAGGAAACTGGGTACAGCAAGGAACACAAAGAGCTAGCAAATAGCTACACAAAATTAGCATGAGTACAAGGTTGTTGCTGCACTACCCAGGATTTGGTGGCACTCTTAAAAGTCGTGAAGTTTGTAGTGAGTTTTTAAGTGATCAGGTAGAGAGTAGAGGCGGGACTTAAGCACAAAATCAACTATTTTGGCTGTTTTCAAAAGGCTAACGACAATGCTAAGTTGTGCACAATCTCTAACTTGCAATGGACCTAACTGCCAATAAATGTATTTTTGGAAAGTTAGACAGTGTGCACAAGTTTGCATGAAATCTTCTAACTTTAAAATGTGACTTCTGTGTTTTTTGAGTCCCTAAAGATTCAGGCTAAGAAGAAGAAGAAGATTTGGTAACACTTTACTTTACAGGTCCGCAAAGTTCGTCGTTATTAGGTGCTAATTAGACGATAATTAGACAACCTTTTTTTTTTTATTTCTTTGAAATTACCCCCGAATTTCATGGCAATTGGGTAAAAATTAGCACGGAACTTGTTTGAAATAATGCCCAAATTTATAATTGTAAGCAAATCATAATTGGTAAGTAACTGTTTTTTCAAATTTATTACCTGCTTATCTGGAAATAGCAGAATATAATTATATATATATATATATCATAATATGATATAGAATAAAATATAATTATTATTATAATTATGTTGGGATAATTGTCCATACATTTTGTGGTGAAATGTGATTTAATTTAAAATAAATTATTTGCTAATTGTCACCTTCTTACCATGGAATTTGGGGGTAATAAATTGGAAAAAACAGTTACTTACCAATTATGACTTGCTTACAAATAAATTAAGGCATTATTTCAAAGAAGTTACATGCTAATTTTCACCCAAATTGTCATGTAATTCGGGGGTAATTTCAAAGAAATAAAAAAAAAAGATCACCCAATTACAATTAAATTTGCGGACCTGTAAAGTAAAGTGTTACCATAGATTTATATGTTGCTAAATTCTGTTTCTTACAAGTGCATATAACTTGTGGGGATAGAAAGGGTAAAAACAATGAATTTAATTTGCATGCATGCGCCCCTGCATAAGTGACTGAGCGATAAACCCACCAGCAGGCTGTCAGCTGATCACAGCAGGGGAGGAAGACTTCAGCATCGTGCAAGCTCCCTTTTTCAAACCTTACGAAGAGATTTTGTTTCCTAATATCTTAACAAACCTGATGATGATTTGTTTTAAGAAATGGTTACATTTTGGTAAGGTTTAGCCATTAAAATTATCTGAGTGCAGTCGTGCATCTTTTTAGGGAATTTCTCAGCGATGCACTTGGATGTTCATGAAGAAAAGTTTGAGCTGTTGTTGGCAGCAGGTACTCTGATTTTTGCAGACAGCTTGCTGAAGATGTTTTGCATACATACTTGTACAGGGCATCTGTGGAGGGTCGGAGTCGGTGCGGTAGTAGCCGTTGCGACAGACGCAGTTAGTTGCTCCCTCATTGGTGGTTCTGCTGTTAATGGGACACTGCAGACACGAGTGGTCTCCCTGTGCAGCCTTGAAGAAGCCTGAGACACAAGCTGTGAGAGAGAAAGATACAGTCACAGTGGGGAGAGATAAAGAAACTACATATGAGAGTACAGTGTGACAGAGAGAGTTTTATAAAATAACTCCAGTAATGGCTGCCATCAGAACCAGTTTTGGTCAGATCCTAGAATACTGTGTCCGAGCTATTTCCTCCCACATTTCCCCCACGGAGCGTGATTATTCATGACGTCTGTATTTCACAAAGGTCAGCTCATTGAAGTGACATGCACTGGGACTCCTTCAGATCCTGTCAGCTCTGCTGTCCACGCGGTCGTAAAAAATGTCAGAACATGTGGAGCAGAGGAGATGCTCCGAGACCACGACAAGAGACGATGAGAAGAGGGGAAAAAAAAGGAGAAAGCTCGACAATTTAGCCAGATTTCCTTTTTTTTCTTCCTGTATTTTTTATTGATTTAATCAGGTAATCAACCCATTAAGATCTCTTTCACAAGGGGGACCTGGCCAAGAGGTCAGCAGCAGAACACGGCATAAAACACGTCCTGTATGACTCTATGATGTAAAAGACTAACTTGAAATATAATGAAAAATTTGACACAAAAATGGCCGTATTATTGAATGAGCCGAACAACATGATAGAAAAATAGAGCAGCCTTAAAAGTTTGAATCGATTGCATGAACACTGACATGCATTACACTGTTGATATTATGTAAAGTGACATAATAATGATAATGACAATGATATAAAGACATTGAACACATCATATTTTGGGTGGCAGGAGCTCGGTCTGAAGGGACTTGGGTTGGGAAGCGGAGGGTTGCCGGTTCAAAGTTCTGATGTGCACCAAATATGGAAGTTGGTCTGGTCGCTGGAGAGGTGCAAAATCACTTCCTGAGTACTACCAAGGTGCCCTTGAGCAAGACACAGAACCCCAAGGAGCTCTGGCACACACCCTGTGCAGCAGCCTTGCTCTAACATCTCTTCATTAATGCATCATGTCCACAGGATGTGCATGTGTGGAATTCAGGCCTGTGTGTGTGTGTGAGAGAAGCAAGTCTCTTTTTTTTTTTACATCCTTTATTAATCCCTGAGGGAAATTCTATTCATAGAGTGTAAACCATTTTTACAACACCATAATCCGCAGGGATTAATAAAGTATATAAAAGTCAAACAGACATTGCTGCTGTTGCCATGGTGCTTCAGCTGACTGATATTTTGCAAAAAAAGAAATCCAGAAGGTTTGGGGAATCGGCTCATGGCTCTGCTCTCACTGTGGGAGCATCTGATTGGTCTGTGATCTACCCCCCCGCTTCCCCTGAGCTCTACACAGCACACAACGTGTGATTGAGCGGAAATTCAGCCCGACTTCAAAATCAGTCATGCGACATGAAAACTAGAAATAGATCATTACCCGAAAATGTACAGAAGTTGTTTGTGTTTACATCTAATGGAGGAGGATCATACACGGAGATTTAATTTTAAAAGTGAAATTAAAACTAATTTCAGTAAATGGAGTTAAATAATGGAATTCTCTCAATAATCATTTAAAATGCTGCTCAACTATCATTCAGTTTAAAAGAAAGTATAAAGAAAAGGTTCTGGGAAATGATGAATGTATTGAGTTAATCTAACTGATTGTTTCTATAGTGTTGATCTATTTTTTGTTTTGTGAAAGAGAAAACAACAGGTTAGCCATCTTATTCTGTTAAACAGTATCTTGTGTTATTAGGAAAGGGGCAGGTATTATAAGTTTTCTTCTTCCTGTTCCTGTTTGCTCATGAACAGTGTTTTAGTGTTATGAGAAAATATTTCTTGTTGTGTTTTATTGTGTTGAAACCAAACACTGAAATGAGCAAATAAATCAAATATTAAAATAAATTAAATTAAATTAAAACTGTATCAGAGATAGAGGTGTCAAGTAACTAAGTACAAATACTCTGTTACCTGTAAAACATTTTGGGTATCTATACTTTACTGAAGCAATTATTTTTCAGCCGACTTTTTACTTCTACTCATTCCATTTTAAATATAGCCTTATTACTCCTATTTCATTTCGGCTTGTTTTCATTCCGGCTTGTCATCGTTCAAAAAAACAATAAAACAAAAATAAAACCTATCCAGATAAATCGTGCCATCCGGATAGAGTGAATTTGATTGTGGTTGGATGAGAAGTATAAACATATACCATTCCGACACCCACCCAATTTTTAATGGCATTTTTTTCCCCTTACATTACTTTTTCCTTTTTTACTTTAAGTAGTTTTGAAACCAGTACTTTTACACTTTTACTTAAAGTAAAAAGCTTGAGTTGATACTTAAACTTCTACAGAAGTCTTTTTAAACCTTATTACCTATACTTCTACTTCTGAGTAATGAATGTGAATACTTTTGACACCTCTGGTCAGAGACGGCCGGATGTGGCACAGCGTGTGCTCGGCCTCTTATGGATGATGTCACCTAACCGTGATGTCAGCCCAACACTTCAACAAACTGACAACAGGAAACATTCAAGCACTGAAGACAGACAGAAGGTCACGACATCGCTAACTCATGAGAAGTCTTTTTACAGCAGCTTTTCAGAGTCACTTTATATCGAGCATGAACTACAACTCACTATAACATCATCAGCATAAGACATGCACTTACTTATTGTTGTTATGTTGTACACAAGATATATTTTATATGTTTTAGGACTTTAGGGGGATCCGGGAAAAATCAGTCACCAGACAAGAACATAAATGGATTTATTCAGCTTCTAACTTTCCAGGCCGGAGAACTTTGTCTTTTCTTAATTCAATTTGGAAGTTAAATCTAATAAATAATCTGTTGAATATTAAATCATAACTAACTTCCCTCCAGGAGCAGTGAGCAGATCTTTTCCAGCTTCCTTACTCTTTAAAGTCTTTTGATTGTATGCTCGGCTTTAACATTTGGGAAAAGCGATGACTGAGCCTTGCATGCTCGTGTTTGACATATTGTCACATTAAGTGACCAGAGACGACTTGAAATCAAGCTAATGGCGTCGCTCTCTGCAGCGCCGTATATTTTCAGTCCTGCTAAAACGTTCTTAAAAAATAAATGCAGGACCCTATTTCACAGTCAAAATTTGCATATCTGGAAATTATGTTTTTTTTTTTGGGACACTGGAGATGGTTCTGTGACCCGCTTTTTTTGTCCAGTCAGCTGAGAACCTTTAGGGCTTTAGGGTACGGACTTCCAGGTATGGTATGTTTGATCTCACATGTCATCCATCTGCCCTCTGCTCAGGGTCATCAGTCAAACTAACCGTCATTGGTACATATGAAGGAGACGTCCGTTGGTCGTGGAGTTTCTGATTTAATTGAGTGAGCGTATGAGGACTGTCAGGACACATCAGGATCCGGTCTACCTCTAAAAGAACGGAACAAAGAGGAGAGTATGTGGATGTTCACGTGTCTGCCTGCTGGGAGGACTTCAGTACAGTTACCATTAAAGTGACAGACCTGAAGGGTTTGTCACCAATTAGTTCTGACTCATGACAGGTTGTGTAGTGCTTACATCTTTTTAGAGTACGAGACCTCTTATCAGTGGCCCCATCCTTACAAGTAAGGGGTTCAAACTTTCACTCCATTAACTGTGTTAATGTTAAGACAAACACTTTGGAATATTTATTGATACGCACAGCTTGAAAATATGTTCATGTTTACATACTGTAGGTAGGGTGACCATGTTTTCAAGTAAGCAAGAGAGACTCATATTTTGAAGCTTTGTGCAAGTCACCAAGATGCTGTACCTGACCATCTAGGGTTAAAAAGTGTGCTTTAAAGGACCAATCAGTGAGATGTGTAGTGAGTGAAATGATAAAGTGATCTTACTATATGATCAGACATTAAGGAAACATGCTATGTTGAAGTGCTGGCTTCTCTGACAACAATGCAGCAGCCAGTATGTCCTCCTTCTAACTTTAGATTCTGGTCCTGAATGCTCTGGATTTGTTTGGACCAGAGAAGGTAGGAGGTTTTAAGGCGAATATTGGAGATGCTTTTGAAAAATGGAGAGAGGTTAGAACGCAGAAAGGTTTACAGACCCATGCAGAGCTGGATAAACACTGAAGCTTCAGTGTCCACCACATGGCAACCTGCGTGAGCATGGACTCTAGAGGGGGGGGGGGGGGGGGAGACAGCACTCTACAATGTTATGAATTTAGACTGCAGTACCCATTTTAAACTCTAGGTGTCAGAGTTACATACTGCTCCTTTAATGATGCGAAATTAGAAATACACACTTAAAAACTAAGCTTCACAGGATACTAACACAATGCAGAGCAGAGAGAGGAAAGGTGAGCAGACACGCAGACATCATCATCAGTGTCTTGCTCAAAGTCTTCTTAAAAAGACTCAGCTGCACTGAGGATCACATCGTAAACAACATGCCATTGGACACATCCGACTCAGCCGTAAAGCTTAATCCTGCGATGTGATGCACGAATAAATCAGCCGTTGAGTCCTGAGAGAGAAAGTGTAGTCAGAAAATCCTTTGACCCTCATTTGAAGACCATCATGCTATGTTTTGTCCTGTGTTGTGTGTTTAAGAGGATCATGTCACATGTAAAGTCCTCGCTCAGCCAAGACACAGTATAGGGCCTGATCAGGATTAATGTTATGGATCAGATTGAGGCTTTAAATACCAGGAGCACTGTGCACATCTGGCAGGCACACACGAGAAGGTCTGGGAGGCACATCTGAAGTGAATCTGCTCGTAAAACAGTGTGCAAAATACTGAGGGTGGAAAATAAGTTAGATATTACTAAATTATTTTACTTATGGTACATGTTGAGTCAGTCTCTTCCCTTGAACAGAATGGTCATCATCCATCCTTTATGTGTCAGATTCCTGGTCACTGGCACCTTGGAGCATCCAATAGAGAGAGCGGCCACTTTTCTCACTCACAAGTCGTCAAATACAGAAGCTTATTCACAGCCCTGGCTTCTCAAACAGACACACATGATGGTACCCTATGGACCTGTTAATCTGCTCGGGTCAGTGGGCCAGGCAGATGGACGGGTCAAACAAGGTAGGACTGAGTGTCGTGCGAAACTAAAAGTATACACTGATTTTAATCTACTCTTTCCCTCCCTCAACTTGTGATTGTTTTTACTTGATCCTGGCCAATCTAACTGAGCCAAGTGTGACAAATAAAGAAAAGAGACTATCCTTTGTGCAGCATGACAAAGTAGCTTTGGTATCTATCAGTGATGGGAGTCTGTTAGAGCTAGGCGTGGTGTAAAGTGCTCAGCACATGAAACCTTTCCATCCATCATCTATACTGCTGATCCTGTTCGGGGTCGCGAGGGGGTGGAGCTGATCCCAGCTGTCATTGGCTGAGAGGCGGGGTTACACCCTGGACTGGTCGCCAGTCAATCACATGGCTGACATATAGAGTCAGATAAGCAGCCACATTTATATTCATACCCACGGGCAATTTAACATCACCTGTTACCCTGTCCACCACAGACACAATGGACTGTGGTGGACAGACTTACACGCATTTCTCTTTTAAAGGCTTAATATGTGATTTTTCACACTTAAATGTGATATAAATCAAGTATATCCTTTGAAAATAACTCTGAGTCATGACTGTCTACAACGGGTGTAACACCCGAGTCCCACTGTCTGTGATGTTTTCCGAGTTTTCCGAGTCATATCTTCAGTTTGTTTACATCGCCGGGACGGCCAGCTGGCCGGCTCCTCCCCTCGAGTAAAAAAGTTGTTTAATTGAGGGACTAGAGAAAAGAAGAATAACATATTGTACTCACTGCTTAACTGTGCTTCTAGATCACGCTCATTTCAACGTAAATTTACATGCAGTGTGAAGATACGAGCATAATATAGATCGCTAGCATTAGCATGCTAACACAACAATGCAGCGCAAGTTGTTTTGGTTTCATGCTGGTGCTCAAGGGCGACATCTGCTGGATCAAAAAATCACATATAAAGCCTTTAATCTAAAGTTATTCGACTACAATGTCCAAAAAAATCTCAAATGTGGCCACCACGTGTTTTCAGTCGATGGAATCAAATGTTCAGATTCTGACAGATACGGGTAGGGAAAAGGGAAATGAAATGGTGAAAGGGAAATTAAGAGCAGAATTATTGGGCTCCTTACCTCTGCAGACTGTTCCGTTGTCCACCGCCTCGTGCCCGGCTTTGCACATGCAGCGTCCGATCGGTACCATCCACTCCCCGTCTCCGTTACAATACAGCTTGATGGGTACATCCACCTCCTCCCCGTTGGGAACACAAACTCCCCTCGCCGCCACCAGAGAGGTGCTCTCTGCTCCGGCGAGAGTCTCGGGAAAGACGGCGCCATTCTGAATCACTCGGGGACATTTCCTGTAAAATACTCGAACGGCGATGAGCGACATGCAGGCGCCATAATCCTGGAAAGCGAGGTAGAAGCCATTCCGAGAGACGGGTCCAAAACTGCGGACTTCACTGTTGATCTTCATGATGCGTCCCCCGAGATCCACCCGGGAGAAGCTCTCATCGGCAGCTATGGTGTCCACTTTCACCCAGGGGTTCTCCATCCAGGACGGGGACGTTTTGGTGGCCGTGTCCGAGTCCGACTCGTAGTAGTACAGGTTGAAGGTCTCCTTGCAGGAGCCGGGGACGTTGGGTATGGAGCTGCAGTCTCGCACTGAGAACTTCATCTGAACGTGGATACGCTGAGCTCCGCGGCGGCGGATGTAATTGGTGCGTACCCAGTTGTTCTGGCTGCTGTCGAAGACGTTGCACACCTGGTACGTTCTGATGGTGTTCATGTTTTCATCGTAGCCACTGACTTCTTCCCACTAAGAGAACGACAGCAAACAGACACAGTGATGCAGTGAGAGACAACAAACAGCTGCATGTTTCCACCGTTTCATTCACAGAAGATCAGAAGCACCTGTGCTGACTTATCAAGAGGGAGCTTTTGGAGTGTGTTGTTTGTTTTGTACTCAGTTGGTCTGATGACTTAAAGGTCACATATTCTGCAAAATCCACTTCTCCATGTTTCTCTAACACTAATGTGTCACTAGTCTGTCTACAAATCCCCCAATGATGAGAAAAGTCCATCCTCTCCGTCTTTTGCCTGCTCCACTTTTCAGAAAATGTGTGCTCAAACAGGCCGTTTGGAGATTTACCCTTCATGACATCACAAAGGGCAGTAGTCCCTCCCCCAGGTGGGTGACACTCCCACAGCTAGGTGTTTGTTCTGTCCTCTGAGTATGCGAGACTTGAGACACCCAAGCCCTTCCAGAGAGGCGACGTGGTCAGACACAGCTCATTTACATATTTAAAGGTACAGACACAGAAACAGCCTGTTCTGAGCAGGGCTGAAATAGAGGGGTTTATAGACATGATCAAGTACAGGATCAGAGTGGATTTAGAACAAGAAACTTCACATACATGTTTTGAGGAGCTCTGAGACTTATTTACACTGACTGAAGAAGAGGAGGAGGATATGTGACCTTTAAATACTTTTTTGTGTCTTATACTCAATCCAAGAAAAGGCACATGTGAAAAGGAAGGGTTTCACCAGGTGATGGCTGAAGGAGTGTTAAATAAAAAATAAAAAGGACCATGAGAAAAAGACTTAAGTGAATTAACAGTCAATTAAGAGTTTGTTGGTGAGTTTGGAGAACAGCTGAGGTTGGTAATAAACCCTGGCTGTTGTAAATAAACACAGACAGCAAAAACATGAATTAATGCTTGAGTATGCAAAACTAAAAAGTGCTTAACGTTTGTCTTAACAAACTCTGTCAGAGGATTTGCATTGCTACAACAAAATTATTATTTTTGCTAATTTCTTTGAGTCACTGTCTGCATGAGTTACGAGGAGTAAAAGTGGAGCAGACAAAATCGTTTTAAGTGTTACAACATGGAATGAACTATGAGCGGCTGCTTCCTGCTCAGAGCTGTCTGCTGTCTACATCTGAGACGCTCAAAGCCGAGTGACATGTACATTAAGCCGTCTTGTGTTATATAAAGTGCATATCTGCACATTGATTATTCATGTTTGTACTCAGAATATACATCATGAACACACACGTGTCTGACTGGAGCTTCTTGTCATGTTTCAGAAGTCTTTGAGTTAGGAGTCCCACTAAAGAGACGTTTTTCTTCTTAGGTTCTCTCATAGTGTTTCTTAAAAAGGTCCATACTGTACAAAGCATCCTCATGCATGTTTTACACACTGTTCCTCTTGTGTTGGTTTACTCCACTCACCCCCTGTGACGGCGAGATGGTCCAGCCCAGTTCTGCTGTTGCTGTGGTTGAATCCATCAGTACTTCTGCAGGAGACACAGAAAGAGAGATAAGGGTTTATATGACATCATCACATCATTTATGCAACATATATATATATCACATTTTGCATTTACATAGAAGGTGAATAAACTTTTGAGTTGCAGCTAAGCAGAAAACAGGAGCCATCATTTAAAATCTGACTCACGATTATAATTGCTAAAAATAAAAACAGCCCCCGCTGATGTCAGAAGATATTATTTGGCTTGAATCGAGTGTTTGGCCTCTGGGAAACACAGCAAAGACTATAAAATAACTATTAATGTTATAATCCAATCATTAATGTTCAGAACTGAAGAGAGGGGAAACATCTTTAAGATCTTCGACCAGTCCAGTTGTCTTTGGATCAAGCTTTGAATTTACGGTGACCTGGACGACTGAAAAGCTACACAGTCATCCCACCTGTCAGGAGCAGCTGATCAGGTCGTGATTAGCCACAACACTATTGACCACTATTAGTGACTACAGACGCAGAATCGGGCAGAAATTCTTCCAGACTTTAGAATCAGTCCTACGACTCGGGTCTAAATCGGCCTGAATCATGCAGTGCACAGCCTATGAAAAACACTGTGTGTTAAAAACAGGCATCAGAACTGGGTACCAAAAAAACTGGCTTGTCTTTTCTGAGATTGATAAGAAAGAGAGTATCAAGAATAAAAAGCTGAACCTTTTCCGACTTGTGTGTTAACATCACTGTTTTGTATAACTTAATGTTCCAGTGTCTGAAACAAATGAAGGAGTTCAGCTGGTTGTGAAATCCTGCCTGCTCTAAAAAAAAAAAGAAAACTGTTATTTTTGGAATTATGTACTCCTTAAACTCCATACCAAAAGCGTGCAGGATAGGCTCTAAATCTAACCTCAATTTGACCACAAACCCTCATGGATCAATCTGCACGGGTCACACGAGGTGGCCTGTGCAGATTGAAAGCTTTCCTCCCGAGAAGCCTGTTAAAGTGTGTTGTCAGCAGCGTTTGCCTCAATGAATAGGTCACAACAACTTCCAGCCTGAACCCACCGTTTCTGTTCAATATGGTTGTGAATGCGCATTAATTGGATGGTACTTTTTGAAGTAAGCTGTAACTCTCCTGGAGCAGCAGGTCCTGTTGATATGATGAGCTGGGCTCGCTAAGCAACAGGTTCCAGAACAACACTGATTGACAAATATACAGACAAATAAGAGTAGCAAGCATGGTGTGTTGTTTTGGTTGGTTAAAACAGGACAGGGACTGATCAAAACCAGGACATATTAGTGTTTAGTAGAGGTTTGTGGGGACCCGGGACACAGAGCTTGATAAGGGGACGTTCCCCCAAATGTTTTTATTTTTTTTCAAGCTAACACAACAGAGAGACAGCCTTTCAGTGTTTCTTGATTTTATGATGCATGTAACTGTTTTACTGGTAGATGAACCTCCATGCATTTATTTCTCAAACTGAATTCCTCAGATTGCATTTTATTATCACACCAGTTCCTGCTCCTACCTACACGGCCCTTTGCATTTTTTAAACTGATCTAATTTTATTCCGAATCTTGCTGTAGAAGAGAACATCTTGACAGCCCCACCACCGGCGCCGCCGCCTTCCCCTGGAGGCTTCTTGTTCTCTCTGACACAACGCCCATCAAGCCTCAGAGTGAGGTGATGCTCTCCATGCCGCCCCTCCACCACCATGTCAGGTGAAACCATGCTGCTAGGACTCTGTATCCTGCACATGAATTAATTATTCACGTCGTCCCCCGAGTCGGCAGCTGAGTAGAGCTTCTCTTTTACTGGTTTTAAAGAAAGTCAAACGGGATGTTGAACTTGAGAAAATAATCTCTGCCTTCCTCCATGTTCCTAAGTCTGCGTTAAATGGATAGAAATAAGAATCCAAAGTTTATTGTTCCTTCGGCAAGTCTGCCTTTCTGGTTGCAGCTTCTTCATTAAGAGTGATTTACAAATTAAACAATTATTACATTAAAGGAGCAGTATGTAACTCTGACCCCTAGTGTTTAAAATGAGTACTGCAGTCCAAATTTGGAAACATTAAAGCAAGCTGTCTGCCCCTATCCTCTCCTCTCTACAGTCGATGCTCACGCAGGTTGCCATGTGGTGGACACTGAAGCTTCAGTGTTTATCCAGCTCTGCATGGGTCTGTAAACCTTTCTGTGTTCTAACCTCTCTCCATTTTTCAAAAGCATCTCCAATATTGATCCTAGTTTGAGCACGTTTCTGCTCGTGGAGCTTATTAGAAACATGCAGAGGCTTTTTAGGTCGGGTACAATCACTTCTATCTGAACCACTTCTCTTGCCCGCTTCCATCACTGCAACACCTGTTGGTTTGACCTGATAACTGCTCTCATATCTGGCAAACCGAGGGGCGTCCAAAACGGCCGTGTGGGGGGGTGGCCTTAAAAGCGCCTACCTTCTCTGGTCCAAAAGAATCAAGAGCATTCAGGACCAGAATCTAAAGTTAGAAGGAGGACATACTGGAATCATCATCAGTCTTTTTTTTAAACTCCTGAAACAAAAAGAGCCCGAGATTCCTGTGATGCAAACAAACTCAAACTGCAGCTTCTGGAACATCCTCTAAGAGTCTAACTATATATCGTTTACATTGTGGAAACATCCAGCTGTGATTGCACAGGTCTGCAGAGGTGATAAATTAGACTTCTCCTTTTTCATTAATCACACAGCTTCTCCGTCACATCTGATTCTGTCACTTTATTTTTCTGTGCAACACCTCGAAAGCCTCGAGGAGGGACTGTCTGGAAGAGTCCTAAATTTATCCTCATTTAACCTCGTCACGACTCCAAAGACGCTCGTTAAAGATGCAGAGCTGTTGGAGAGACATCAGGGAGGCAGAGGGATTACAACAGGGCGACTCTAACAGCAGGCTCTCTACAGTCAGCACGACGGGAACCGCTGGAGTATCAGGCCATAGTCCACACGTAGGCAGGTATTTTTTAAAACTGAGATTTTTCATCCGTTTCAAAAAATAATCCCGTCCACACACGCTCAGTTCTCAAAAACATTGTCACCTACATGAAAACGCACTGTTACAGCTGTAGTGAGCACGCCAGGTCAACATCGATGTCCTTCTAAATGTCATGCTAAAATGTTCACACCGTTCCCCTGCAACGACCATTTCATTTTACAAAGTAATCCAATCAGGCGTCTCTGCTCGTCAACATAGAGGGAGAGTAACTGTGTATGCATGTAAAAAGTCCAGTTAGCATCGTTAGCACCAGCGCTAGTTTGGTTACGTCTGCCATCGCACTAATCTCATGTCAACAAAAGTGATGTCAAACGGAGGAGAAACCGGCGCACAGCGTGACGATAGGCCAGACAAAACTCAGTTTTCCCCGTCTACACAGAAACACCTTATCCAGGGTTTCTGAAAATCTTCACCCTGGAAGGAGTTTTGCTAAAGGTGAGTTTTTCAGTGAGCTAAAGGCAGTCAGTATACGAAAGGTCAAACCACACAGAAAAACTTCCTGCCTACATGATGATTTATGACCCACTAAGTCCGGCTTCAAACTAGATGGTTTAGTCCAGATTTTAGGCCCGATTTGCCCTGTTACCAATCAGGGGGCGTGGCCTGATCCTAGGCTTGTTGCAACCAAGTATTTGTCCAGATGATCCTCAAGTGTTGTTGTACTCAAAATCATTGAAGGTCTAGACTCAGAATCAAACATATTTTTACTCGGCCTGGTATCTGTCACAGACTGGGCGGACTCTGGATTTTAAATCAAGACCATCACTCACGGGCCCCCATTGATCAGAAGGAAAACGCCTCTGTTTAAATGAACGAATAACTTCAGTTCATTTGTAGTTTGATTTTTATCCCTGGTTAGGGCTGCAACCTTCCCGGTGTTACGGCCTGAGTGAGTGACACCCTTCACACAACTTGGTTATTTTTCAGTGATATTTATGGTCTTGGTCTTGACTTGGTCTCGATCCCTAAATGTCTTGGTCTGGGTTAGTGTGGTCTTGATTACATCACTAATTCATGGGGACTTTTATCTCACCTAACAGTAACATTACAAATCCAGAAGGTGAATTAAATCCAAGTCAGCACAAAGACGAGAACTTTGCATTATTATTATGATTCTTGTGTTGGGTTTTCAGTGTCAGGCTGAAGTGCCAGCATCCACTGTTGCATCTTAAATGGCCCATTTTTCCGGCTGCTCGCTTCCGGTTAGTATCAGCAGCGATTAATGAGGAGCTGGGAGGGAGCGGCGAGCCAGGTGTCAGAGCCACCGCTAAACAGGAATAAAAGAGGCCATGAGCACTGACCCGCAACCGATTCCCACAGACTCAGCCAAGAAGGGAACAAGGAGGGACAGAGGAGAGCCCAGATCTGAATGAGTCTCTGTGGTGCACCGGTGACACAGCCGATGGGTGTTTCATTAGTTCTTTACAAGCATTCATTATGAATATTACACAGAAGAAAATGTAATCTAGTGGAGGAGCTCTTCTTCATTTTGAAAGTGTCCCCTGAAGTCTGTTTCCCTTTATTATAAGAACTTGGGCTTTGGCTTCAGACCCCAAGCATAGCTCTCTTTGAAATCTTAATTTAAGCTAACAGTTTGACTCTTTCAGTTTGGCCTCGGTGCTCTCATTAACCCGGATATTTACAGTGAAAACGCTCTAATGAACCTACTGTACGCTACCTACTCAGCCGCAAACAGCAGACAGGAACAGTTAAAGACTGGCCGTTAACATAGCGGAGCAATTAGCGGCTAAATGGACGGTTATTTCCCTCGGGGAGGGGAAGGAGGAAACGACACAATTAGGACTTTTAAAAGCAGCCATCCTGAAAAAAAACAAAAAAAACATAATAATTATTAGTAACACTGCGGCTGACTGGATTGTGTTGGAAATCTTGCACAACTTATCTGTCATGATTGTATTTGTATTGTTTTTTATGATACTCAGAGAAATGTAAGAACAGATATCCTCAAAATAAGGAAGTGCATGGTTATAAAATAAAAGACAGGC